TTTCAACATTTATCGAGATTGAGATAACGATGGTCTTTATAAGTACTACAACACTTTAAAAGAAATACCCAAATGTAAAATTTTTGTAGCAAATTTATGTTCTAAGTCTTCTATGGTTAACGGTTCAAAAGTTTTAATTAAAAAATATTTAAAGCAAGACCTGATTATTTTAAACAACCATGGGCACATGTTCACAATTAATAAGCACTTGCCATGTTTTTTATACTACTGTCTACAGCAGTAGTATTTTAAGGGAATTTGCGATAAGCCACTCAAGTGCAGGTAGTGTTTTAAGAAATTAGAGAAGCAAAAAATCAGCCGCCACCGGAGTTTGTTATCTTCTGTTATTTGTCGTATTAAGTCTTTCATTTTACCGCATCAAAGACCCCGCCGCACAGTAGCCGAGCTCTGGGACCACTTACTACCTATGGTGGGAATGTAACGGATCTCTCGGTGGGTATGTCCCATCTTTATTACCTCATCAAAATTTGTAGGTGAATTTCGTGCAGCACAAACTTCCGTGTTTATAGTCTTAACCAGATCGAGATTATGATTTCATGGAAACAATTTGTTAAAATTATTGTTATCGCCTTAACTTTTTTAATCTTAATCGACGTTACGATTATAATTGTTCAATGTTCTATCGTTTGTTATCTTGTTCGTTTTATGTTCATTTATTTATAGAATGCATTTCTTGATAGGGCTTCCGACAAATTAATACGATAATGTAAGTATTAAAATAAAATTAACGTGCTCCTATTAACGTTTTGGTGTAAGAAGTTGATAATTATATATTACAACTATAGGTGCCTAAAATAATTAAGTTCTGCTTTTTATAAATCAAGAATACAGAAGGGATATAAATATTTTCTTTGACGTTTCAAAGTCGTCCGGTGATCACAAGGACAAACATTACGGTACAATGACGCGATAGTGTGTTGTTAGACAGAAGTATCACCTACGAGAGGATTATACAGAAGGGACTAAATATAATTTTTTTATTAATAAAAAAATACATGTACTATTATTTCTGAATACTTATTACAATAAAATTTAAATGTTAATGACTGTAATTTTCAGAGAAGACAATCAAGAAAATTATTTGTCTTAAATGTCACTGTTAGTAGACTTACTTAAGCATTAGGCAGTTCTTTGATGATGAAAAAATCGTTTTTAAAATAACTATCAATTATAATATGTACTTATTGTATGTCGATAAAATTAGGTCGTCGTAGTGTTCTTGACATCTCATAAGATCGACATTCGCAATCTAACAAGAGTAGTGCAAGAGCGCTAATAATAATCCGCAATGGAAGGTAACCAACAGTGGAAGTACTCGACGCGGGAAGTTCTGCATGCATTAATATTTGTCAGTCAATGTATTGCATGCTAATAGAATATATCACTATATATTGTAACTCGTTAGCGGTTAATAGCAGTACCTCGTCTTGAATAAACAAACAGCCGTTAAACAGCGTCAAAATTATTAATTTAGTCACACTCGCGACCGTTTCGGCAACTCATTTGCATACGAGTGTAATGTTCGATACTGTACAAACATATTTAGATAAGATATTTATATTTTATGATTATAGTGTTAATAACAGCGCTGTAATGGCCAGACGGACGGTAACGAGGATCCTGTTTCCATATTTATGTGCGACCGCTCACAATATTTAAATATTTATGGCGTTATTAGATATCGAACGTAAAAATAGTTTTATTTTCTTTTTATTCATTTCATGTCCGTAGAATATGAAGTAATATATTTAATGTGAAAATAATATTATAAAAATGTGAACGTAAATTCATTTGTTAATTATTTGACGCTTATATTACACAAATCTATCAACAAACCGTCATGAAACATATACGCTTGCACAGTTGATATTTGGAATGGAGATGGAGAAGGCCAAACTATATCTTGGTTTACATAGACTACTACTCCCAGTCACTAGGATAGTTTTAGGCACATGCAGGTTATATGTATGAAAACACGTTCTCATGCGTAGATTTTGTGATGTCTTTTAGCATCTTTGAGGTAATTACCTCTTCAATTCCAGAAAGAAACAATAAAACCCTTACAAGTCCAAAAAATACCCAAATTGTTCCAAGCCTATTTCACTTTTCTGAAGAAGTGAGTTGACATACGAGGTTTGTCCGGAAAGTACGTATAAAAGTTTTTTAAAAATTTTATTTTACAATTATTCAGGTAAATCAATTTTATCCCCTTCAAAGTACTCCCCCTGTGACATAATGCACTTGTGCCAACGCCGTTTCCACTGTGAGAAGGCTCCTTGAAAGTCCTCTGGTTGTAGGTTTCTCAGCTGCCCCGTCGTAGCTTTTTTTATCTCATTTATGTCCCCCAAATGCCGCCCCCGAAGTACCAATTTGGTTTTTGGGAACAAGAAGAAGTCACACGGGGCCAAATCCGGCGAATAGGGGGGGTGTTCGGTCACCGTAATGGAATTTTTACTCAAAAACTCACGGACAACAAGAGAGGTGTGGGCAGGGGCATTGTCGTGGTGAAGAATCCAACGCCCCTCTCGCGCCAATTCTGGACGAACTCGTGCCACACGAGCTTTGAGGCGTCTGAGCACATCGACGTAGAATTTTCCATCAACTGTCTGGCCTGGAGGGACGAATTCTTGATGGACAATCCCCCGAACATCGAAAAAAACAATCAACATTGTCTCGGCCCTCTCTGAATCTTTTAGCCACTTGTGGACGGTTGGTTCCTTCACAGCATCATCCCCATAAACTGTTCTGAGATCGGCAAAAATTTCACGGCCATTCTTGCCGAGTTTCGAGAGAAACTTGATTACGACGCGCTGCTCTTCAACGGAAGCGGGCTCCATGCCGACGGGGTTTCGTTAAGAGGTAACTTCACAGATGGCGTGACAAGCCAGTTCGTACCGCACGGCGGTCAGACCAGAACTGAAGCATTGTTAGGGACATAAGGAAGGGGTCCTGCGCTTACCTGGCCTCCCCACTCCTCTTTCTCGCATTCCAGAACACTTTTATACGAACTTTCCGGACAGACCTCGTATCTAGCGTAGTAATGTGAGTTCACGTAATAGCATGGCATAGCGCAGTGTTACTCATGTCTATTTCGATTTGAATACTCCCAAGAGTAAAACTAAACCAAAGTAAAATTACTCCAAAGTAAAACGTGCTACAGTCGTATTTTTCTGTACCACTTATTGTATGGATATTTAATGCTTTGCTCTGTAGTTGAGAGATATTTAATTTACTTATATTTAATTCATCTTGCGAAATATTATATACCTGAAAATTCGTAATTTAGATATTTGTTCTTCAGTTGGCTGATCGACTTTGGTAGACATATAGTCTATGTCATAACAGGATAATGTTTTAATACAAATTCACGAGGGCAAACCGGTAGTATTTTTAAGAAATAAAAAAATACTTATATGAAAATATTGTCAAAGAAATATGAACTTATCTATTCACCAACTTAGGGTTGATATTAATGAGAACTAATAATTTTAGTGCTTCAATAATTTCTTTCATATTGGCGTTTACGACCGTTCAAAGCTTATCGAGCATACCTAAGTAATTTAATTTTTTGTTAGTTCCCATGATTTGTGGGCAGGTGGCGGTGGCGTTGGATTGCGGCATCTTTGTGCTTGGTGCTTTGATCTCGCCGTGTATTGTGCGCGTGCGATTCTTTTTGCCGTCAGTCGTATTCTCGTATTATGTTATTGATGCGTGTATTGATTTGTGAACGTAGCTTCAATAGCTCGGTTGCAGTTTACAGAGGGACCCATCAGATCTTTGTCTGAATATGTCAGATCTGGCAGACTTGTTGGCGTCGTGTTACACAATAAGAACATTATAAATGTAATGCTCGGATTTAGGAAATTGAGTAAAATTACTTTTATTGTCACATATAATGGAGTCGATTCTGAGAAGCGATCTCTAAACATGTCTCTATAATTAAAATTTCAATTTGATATCATGTTTAAGTCTTTATTTAGAAAAGTAATATAAACCAAATTTCTAATAGATTTTAGTTAAAATTATTATAATTTATTTATTTCATATCTACACTTACACTACACTTATCACTTATTTTATAGGTACTAATACAATGTAATGTAACTATGTTAATTTACATAATTAACATAGTTACATTACATTGTATTAGTATATGTAATATATATTTATTTATATGTTAACTATTGTAGCTAATTAGATAAAGAGCTAATTGTAAATTCATTAATTTAATGATGGTCCATAAAACAGTACATTCGTGAAATTATCAAATTAAAAGATAAGTTTAGAGAAATTACGGTTCAGAATCGATATTATCTTAATGAAGATGTACTTACATTAGTATCGATTATTGAGAACTTTAGAGAGATTGCGTCTTAGTATATACTAATAGGGAGAAAGGGGTTTTTAGTAATAGGAATCTAACTTCTAAATCTCTATCTATAAATCTAATCTGGCTAGCGATATAGGGTATATCACCATCAGGTATAGAGGTTTCTTTAGGGTCGGCAACGCGGGCATAATAACCCTGGTATTGCAGGCGTTCATAGGCTATGGTAACAACTTACCATCAGGTGGACCGTATGCTTGATTGCCACCTCAGTAGTATAAAAAAAAAGGTTGACCTCCACACATACAAACCATCTTGTTTCAATCAATTCTTTATGAATTTGTCACTATGGGCCAACTGTCTTGTTTCATCCTCACCTGTCATCACTTATTGGTATCGATGTATATCTGTAGCGCAGCTGGGGCTACCATTTTACCTATTGTGGAGGGGGGGGGGGTGAAGGGATTATTAGTTATGAAGACTAAGGGCCCAATTGTTAGCAATATACCCAACTATGTTGACCTCCACGTGGTCCCTCCTGGAAACCATCGATTGGTATTGCCATATAACCATGGATTGATTGGTATAGACTAGCAATATTGGCATAAATCCTAGCAAAAATAAACTAACGAGAATTGTGTATTGTTCGCAGGTCTAACGGCAGAGCTGTATTACGTGCGAGATGGTCTAATAAACTTCTACGCACTCAACTTCGTGGTACCAGTACCAGCGACCATCGAAGAGTTGCATTTCACTTGGCAAAGTCTCGCCAGAAGACCTGTAAGTATACTCGTACACTCATATCTATTGGTGTCTTTTATCTAGTATTTTTTTTACAACTACAATGCAGTCATCGCAGTCAAGCTTTTGATTTACCAGATGGTTCACCATCTTGCAATATGCAATATTTTCAGCAGCTTGCAATATCACTCACTTTAGTATCAAGTAATTTTTGTATAGTCTGTTTCGATTTGAATGAATGAAAATGTAACCAATTATCACAAAAGCACTCTTTTAATGAAATTGGCGACAAATTGGTATATTCAATCATTTGGTGGATTTCTGTTTCTATCTGCCATAAGGACGAATTACTGCTGCCACTGTATCGACTGAAAAATTCGGTAATTCATTCCTAGGAAATAATGTTAGTCTTAAGTTTACTTGAATAAAAAGTATTTATATTCATTTATTATTTATATCTTACGGTCGGTCAACTATTCGTTTGTTTACTTATTGATTAATTTCTGTTGAAACAGGCTATACCATATCTCACTATACAGGCTATACCATGTATTTTAACCGGAAAACAACACGTGTTCTTTGACAAGCAGCTTTTTTATAAAACAGAATGGCAAACAAGCTGACGGCCCATCTGACGGAAAGTGGTACCGACCCCTTTAAACGTGAACAATACCATTCACATAACAGAGTTTACTATGCATGTTTGATGGGGACTTAATATAGGAAATAAATGTTACCGAGATATAAAAGAACTGCTAGGCAGCTACACACCTAAAGTATCTAAAATTTTATAGGAACGATCTTGTATATTACATGAAGAAGGAACCAAAATATACGCCTAAAAATTTTAAAAATGTTTTTAAGAACATGCAGTTCATACCGACGAAATTACGGTTATAGATGGTATAAAAAGTCTGTGCCGTCACATATTGGAAATAAATGTCTATTACACAATACAGGTGTGCAATATAGCACTACCTATTTATAAAATACATGTCACCTCGATTCATATGATTTCTACGAACTGCGATGTTCTCATAGTATGTTGCGATTTAAAATATCTAACATTATTTGAATATCAATATAAATTAATAGAATTTGTTTATGTAAAATATATAGGCAGGATTAAATACTTCGTATTAGAGGTCATTCTTACTAAGAATTACAACTTGCCAACTATTCGCTATCTTTTATCGAAATCTCGTTATTATTGTTAGTTTTTTTATACGAATTCAAAAGTTTAATAATTAATTTAAAATTGTTAGGAATTTACTTTAACTATAAATTATTAACTATGTCCAGCAGTGGACGGATAATGGCTGTAATGATGATGATGATAAATTATTTTTATAAGCTTTTTTGGAGTTATTATTTGACTGAAACATTTGGTTAAAAAAACAAATCTCTAAAGTAGTTGTATTAATTTAGTTGATCACAGACAATGGTTAACTAAATTATCCTTATAATTTTGTAATGGCAATTAATGACAATTTGATATTCACGTTAGCAGAATTCGCGGGTTTGCCTGTGATCTTATTGATTTTAAGTAGCTATAACCTTCTTCAAGAAATGAGCTATCAAATGCATAAATATTTTTTGAAATCCGACTGATAAACGCTTTAACAGACCTCTCCGCTTTATTATATTAGTATAGAAATATTTTTATATGTTTAAACCGACCTATATATAATCTGTGAAGCCGCATGCGACAGTGATGGATACATTTAAAAGTCTAATCTTGCATGAGACAGAGTTTAAATTGAACAATCGATTTACTGAAACAATCGCGCCATTATGGTAATCTCCCATATGGACAGCATGCAAATTGGGACAGTGCCCAACGTACATACCAATATACATTGATGTCCTTTCGTCATTTAATGAGCTACGAACGAATATGTAGTCTGCTGAATAAATTTGTAACGAACCCTTGAGTTTGCATCAAAAGAACCAGATCTTATTTTGTTTTCCAAACTTTCAAGGTAAAAATTATTTATTGTTTTTTGATATCAAAAAACGATATACTCTCGACCGGTTACAGGTTTTGATTGTATGTTACAGTTTACATCTCGGGGTAAAAAGTTTGTTGCAAATAATTTCCTATTTAAGTAGGTATATCTATCAATCCTCAAACTATTCAGTATTGCACTATATTATTACGTATGCGTATCTTACCTTAGCTTTGTGAATGAGTGAAAACTGAACATTTTCTGAAAACCATACAGTGAGTTCATTTTAGACATTGTGTTTATACTTGGAATTATACATATATCTGATTATTGTAATATTCTGCCTTTTTATATTTACTTTTTACATTATGGTTTATCTATCTATTCTTTGTACAGCCAGGGGCCGAGCGTGCGGGCTAAAATACCGTAACACAGGGTATCATAGTACGGATTCTGGCCACTCCCAATAGCAAACTATATATTTTGTAAAATGTAAAAATGAAGTGCCGTTGTGATAGAAATAAAGATTAGGTATTATTGTATTGTATTGGTTGTGCTGTATTATCTCCAAGGATATTTGTAAGGTATTATTATTAGTAACTTAGTTTTATTTACCCAGTAAATAACAAACAAATCATTCTTATGGAAATACCGTAGTCCTTGATATGTAAAAAAATAATGATAACGACACCGTCAAAGTTGTAATCTTACCAGGTAACAACCAAGTTGAGTTTAAAGTTTTGATTTATTAGCCGGAAATTTAAAATGAAGTTCGTTTATTATTAAATTAAAATAAATAACTTTGCGAATATTCTGATCGACAGTTTTGTGAATCTGGTTTGAATTTCGTCTTAATAAATATGTGCATTTATTTGTTTTATGATATTCAAAAGACGACGCCTAATCTCGTAAGTTTATATGATCTGGGGCTTCAGAGATCAAGTCTGCTGCTTTACATATCCCAACCAGGGACATAAAATGAAACAGCAGGCCGTCTCGCAAACAAGTTCACTGAACTTGTCAATAAAACATCTGCCTATTTAGAGCGGTATAAGCAAGTCATAAGAGCAACTTGACAATACTGGTTACCACTTTGATTTAAATATATTTAGAATCAAATAAACAATCTCTGGCTCCCACCTACCTGGGAGATGAAGGTTCGTTTGCAAATTGCTCCTTATTGTATTTTTTCTCTGAATTGAAATTTCTATGTAATATTTATGTTATTTATTATTTATTTTTCTACACTCTCTTTAGTCTTCTTTATGATGTACAATCATATCAAACGTCATACGTGAGAGCATAATTTCAATAATAATCAAAGAACGGGTTCAAACTATTTTAAATTTGTTTAATATTTGCTATACATAATTTTCCTTGAAGTTCTCTCGGCAAACCTGCATTTGTAGGAACATGGAGTTTTATTGTTTAAAATAGTTGTACCGGAAAAAGCGGCCTGTTTGTTACTTACGTTACTCCTGAAGTTAAATGTTAGTTTTAGATATTGTAATTATAGATTATAAAGCTCGTCCTACAAGCGCGGGTACGCGGGTATCTTAAAGCAAATAGGTATATGTGAAAAGATTGGTGTTGCGATCACGCGCCCAGCTTTCTTATCAGCATCTCGGCAAGCTTTGTGCCGGCCGGTACTATCAGATTGCCCGGCGCCCCCACCTCTGTTCTCTACTCCCTTATTTGCCCGTCGGCGCCTTTGATTAGAGCAAATATTTGGTAACCGGTTAACTAGCGCCGATGAGCGATCGCGCCACCATTGTCTGTACTCACCGACTGCCGAGTGATAATATATAATTAGCGGCAATGCTGTCGCACCTACGCGTTTTATGAGCTGCGATACCACTGTTCATCTGTGCAATGAACCGACCAAAGAGCCCGCCGCGAATACTGTTTGTTTTACGTTCAAGTTACCCTGCTTGCCGCCTTGTCATTACTGAAAGTATAATTAGGATCTCATTATCGTAATGAGAGAATATATAATGATTGTTAATTTTCAACTTTGATACTTCTACCTACGTTGATATCAAATTCTATATATGCCTAATAAAGAAACACCTATAGGGTCTAAAATTAATGTACGTGTACGTAGCACAAAATACCTAATAGGCATACCTCCAAACGCCCTTTTATACGATTATGGAGCGCGGATCGTGCTTTCGAAGTAGGCTACATTCGACATTTGATCCCACTGACACATCCGTGGATTCACTTATGACCGTTTAGGGACCGCTTGCGTGCCGTTGTCCGTGGATTGCGCATGTTAACAGTTACATCGTGATGGACTGTACCGTTAGGAATGTAACACATATAGAATATTATCAAAGTATTAAAATAAATGATACAATAAATATTGTTATTTTGTTGCAGTTACCATACAAAATAGATGTGCAAGTGATGTCGAACTCCGAAGCAATGGACATACCCGCAGTGCGGCCTAATATATCAACAGAGGGCACTGTACCCACAGAACCCACTACGTGGAAAGTAGATTTGCCCTGTACACGCACTGTAGCCGCTGAAGTAGAAATCAACATAATGCTCAACGTATCCACTGGTTCCTCTTCCACCACCTTGCATTTTCGTCGACGAAAGATATGTCTGAAAGAACCGCGTAGACCTGCTGTTAGAGTCGACAGCATTTCTCATGCGTCTACATCAGCGGATATATTTTATGCTGGAGCTGGTTGTGCTGGGGGTGCGATTTTAATAGCTGCAGTCGCTGCAGTGGCTTGTAGAGCTCGAGCGAGGAAATTGCGAAGAGCGCGTAGCGATGAACAAGATGCTCATGCATTTTTACCAGATTCATCATGCAAATCTGCTGCCAGTTATACCAGTTACCGTCGTCCTACTTCTCTACCGGCTGCAGCAGCGGCAGAGGAGAGAGCCAGAGATCTTCAACAAAGAATAGCTGAGCTGACAATACAAAGATGCCGGGTTCGACTGCGGTCAGTAGCGATGGAAGGAACTTTTGGTCGTGTGTATAAAGGGACGTACGCTGACGAAGATGGGAGGGAACAAGAGGTGCTTGTTAAGACTGTTGCTGAACATGCTTCACAAGTGCAGGTAAACTTTATAATTAATTGTAATTATTTTTATTTCTTTGCTTATAAGGTAAACATTATTGAATAGTGAAGACACAAGTAATCATGCAATTTCTTTTATTTTAGGTTTCATTACTTCTCCAAGAAGGGTGCATGTTGTATGGATTGCACCATGAACGGGTTTTGTCCGTACTGGGTGTTAGTATCGAAGATCAAACGGCTCCATTCTTACTTTATCCCTGGAACAATGGTTGGAAAAATTTAAAACAGTTTCTTCTGTCGTGCCGAGGCGTTACAGTAGGGGGCGCTACTGCTGGTGCACCGCCTCCACCTCCGTTGACGACTCAGCATGTAGTTCGGATGGCACTTCATGCTTTGGATGGCTTGTCATATCTACATTCTCAACACGTTTTGCACAAAGACATCGCTGCAAGAAATTGCATGTAAGTTTTTATGTGCCAGACAAAAATTATTTCGAATTATATCCTAATTCCAAATTTAAGATACGGTGTTTGTCATAAATAAATATTAAGGAATCGCAGAAATTTTAAAAAGTCCATTGTTATCTTGGGCTTCTTTAATGTAAGGTAGAACTGCTTCTTCTTTTTATCCGTTAAGCTCTTCCACAAAATAAGAATAATTGTGTTTGTTCATTACTATACTATAAATTGGTTGCATATGTAAGAAAAAATCTAAATGAATCCATTTATTCAACAGTGTGGACGAAAATCTCCGAGTGATGATCGCCGACAACGCCTTATCCCGGGATCTATTCCCTGCTGATTATCATTGCTTAGGCGACAATGAAAACAGACCTATAAAATGGCTAGCCTTGGAGTCCCTGAGTAAACGGCAGTTCAGTCCAGCAGCGGACGTATGGGCTCTAGGCGTGTTGTTATGGGAGCTGACTACTTTGGCTCACCAGCCATACGCAGAGGTGGATCCTTTCGAAGTGGCCGCTTATTTGAGAGATGGATATCGGTTGCAACAACCTGCTAATTGTCCTGATGAGTTGTAAGTATTATATAAGTATGAATCACTAAGTACATCGAATTATATGTTTTTTTTTTCATTAATAAAAAATCCGCAGAGTTTTAGTAGTTGCTTTCAATAAAAGATAATAACCTAATTTTTGTTATGACAATACATATTCTGTGTTTTGTAATAAATTCCATTAAACTGATATTGAAATTGAGACGTTTCGCACTCTCGAATTACAATACTAACGACATAATGGTTCTATATGGTTCTGATAGATGCATATTAGTGTAACTTGCCAATGCAAACTATTGTAAACCGATCCCAATTATAACATAACCGTTGTTTCATGAGTGCAGTATAAAATTGTCCTTGGCAATAGATTGGATTGATATTGATATTGGATTCAAGAGTAGACCTGCAGGTCTTAAGTTTTACCACTAGAACCAATATTGATGTTATATATGTTGATTATATAAGTTATTTATTTTAAATTTTATGATCGGAACCTAAAGTTTAATATTAACTATAAGTTATCTATTTATTTATTCTTTATTGACCACATTTACAAAAAATTTTTGGTAAAAAATCTAGACTTAAAGTATGAATAGTATTCTCCTGCAGTCAACATTTGAGATTATTCGGTTATCCGGAATATTTTAGTAAATTGATTACATCTAATTTTAATAATACTGATGGCATTAACGACATAACATAAGGCTCTAAATTGTATTGTTTAATAATATATTAATACTTCAGAAGTATCGTTATCATCAAATATTTACGAACGAAGGTCCTCCAGCCCTTATATTTATCTCATATATAGGGCAATCGATGGTGATGAATTGACATTGTATATTTCTTCCACAGATTTGCTGTGATGGCGTACTGCTGGGCGATGTCACCTGACGATCGGCCCACGTTACCACAACTACAAATCTTCCTTAGAGACTTCCACACACAATTAACCAGATTCGTCTAATAGAAATCATTCCCTATCGACTATATTAAAAAGACATCCCAAAGACGACAATAATTATAGTGAATAAAGCGGACTTATAAACTGTGCGATAAATATAAAAGAGGCCTTATTAATAACGGCGCAAGACTCGTATTTCGTTATAAAGTGATTGTGAACGTTTGCCGATTTCAAAAAGGTAATCATCGAAGAGACTGATTTTTATAAGTGTTTATTGATTTGTAAATTATTTTATGTTTTATTTTAATGCAGTCGACACATTTTCTAGTATCTCGTCGGCAGCAGTCGTTACCTACAACAGAAATGTTGTTGTGATTGAATATAATTTTCTTCTAAGACATTTACTTTGCCATACATAATTATCATTGAATAATGTTTAATTGTATATACTTGAGTGTTTGTTTTAAATAATTAACTTCACAGATTCTAAAACGAAAATGTAGCCTTGTTTTCTATTTCAACAATTTTACAAGTTACTTTATATTGTACTGTTTACAAAATTTTTCTTCATTATAATTTAGTTGATAGTGCAGTAACGTAACTTGGTTCTGTTAGCTTCTGAATCGAACCAATGATCTCATTACATTTATCAACGCGTTTAATGCTACAAGTTATAGCAATGAGATTGAATCAATTAACGCATTTATCAGTAGACCAATTAATATACAAAGACACTCGTAAACAAATGTATATAATACATTTATGTATAAGGCTACTTATCACCATTTAATTTATTACAGAGACTCGGGTTTTTATACTATTTTTACACTAGTTATAACGATGGGTGTGAAAACACGTATGGTGATCTAGTGTTATTTCAAATTATACTCTATTTCTATAGCTATATAGATTATAATTGATCAAAAACAACATTTGTGTTTGTTGCATATGATTCACACGACGTATCAGAATATATGTCAACTGCATAGAGTATTTGTAATTATCGTTTGAAACCTCAGTACTGCCATATTAGACGTAAGAGATTAATGTATATAATATAATAGGTATATCTATGTGATGTATTGTATGATATACGTATATTGAATGTGCCTCAGATTTTATGAAAGAATTAGATGTTTATATAAATGTTTAATTGGAATTAAAATTATTGATTAGACTGGTTTTAGCATCGATTTATTCGTTTAATACAATTGACATATTAGGCAGTATAGACAATATGCCTCTGCTTTATACATTGAATAAAAAATAAATCCTAAGCATTGTGATTATTGATCGTTTAGTAGACATTTAAGTAGTTATTTATAAATGATTCACGTTGTTTGACTTTGTACTGCTTACGTTATTAATATTGCATGACATCGGCAATGTCATCTTGAGATAAAGCATAACTAATGCAAATCTGATGAGCTTAAGCATTCTCAACTACTACGTAAATGTTTTCAGTACTTTTATCAAACTTAAAGTAACGTAGTGCATTAATTCAACTGATTTTTTTTTGTGTATGTTACTCGATTGATTTTGCCATTTGTGAATACATTTTGTTGACTTTTTTTTTTAATCGAAAGGGTTTATTGTCGTGTTGGCCCCTACTAATTTGATTAGAATTGATTTTACTACAATATTACTAAATTGTCGGTTTGATTTTTAGTCACAATACTTCTTATATAATGGTTATTATGCAAACTTATACATCTCTCTCTAATATCAGCATGGTAAAATTATAGTCTAAAGAAGTTTTTCTTACCACTCTGAGGAATAATTCTGTACAGAACAATGTCCCGAAATGTTATTTAATAATTGTGTTCAGATATGCCAGAGGTATTAGATCACTGATTTCTTCTGACACTGTGGTGAAACTACTGTAATTACAAGATTTCCGAACGCCATTCCTTCTTAGAATTTTTCTTCTTATTAGAGTGGAAGTTATATGTGCCTACACCCTTTTAACCTTGACCGAGTAATGTTCGAGCCGGCAACAGTAACTTTTTTGTTGCTACATATTTAAAAATAGAACTATTAATAACATGTTTACGTGTGAAATAACACTTTTAGAAATACTGATGAAAAATATCGATGGAAGAATTTGAGATAACGTTCTTAGACTGCAATAATGTACTTTTTTGCAATAAATTTATAAAAAGAAATTAAGTTCTAATTAAAAATTCGTTAATTAAATTATGCGCAATGTGTAAAATAGATATTGAAATATAATCCCAATGACAACAGAATATTTTTTTTCTTTTATGTGTTTTGTTGGATTAGCATTTTTTTTAAAACGATAGAATACTGAATGTATTTTTTTTTGCCACACCTAAGAGGCATTTAGGGCAATTATTGTAATGTTTGTACATTTGTAAATAATATGACTCAAAAATGTGAATACATGAGTGATTATACCCATATATGTGATTTTTTAATTTACCTTGCATTCTATACTTCCATTCCTATCCTAATAAGTATCATAATCTTAACAATAACATTCCACTAATGTCGTACTACGGGGGAACGGACAACTTTTAGGTTTTTGCATGGGCTCTGTACGAACTGGTTTTGCTCCCCATATGAAGAACTAGATTTTACTTAGTCCGTGTGACTTGTTGATTTACCGGGATACATAGTGCCTAGTTTATGTCCTTTTCTATCTCAAATTTACCAAATTTCATGGTGATTGGTTGAACCGTTGAGAGCGTTCATAACAAATTGTGGCAAGGTCGTAATTACCTATCTGTAGATTTTCAATAACAAATGAAAATTTTTCAATGTTCCTGATTGAATATTTAAAAAGTGCTCTGCTAGTGTACTAAAACGTTAATCATAGAATATATTGCTTGTAAAACTACTATTAAAAACTTTGCATCTACTTTATATTTTGTGTCGGAATTTTTCAAATATATTTTTGCCATCAGAATTAAATTTTTTTGTGACACGTTTTTATAAGAATATTTAAGTATTAAGTCAGAAATAATAGAAAATGTTAATTTTTTTGATAACTAACATATAGTTGCAACGTTGCAATATTTTGTTATGAACGCTTTTAAAGAACAAGAGGTAATAGATTTGTAAGTATGTATTTTTTTAATGGATAAAATGGAACGCTATCCTCACCTGCGCTATCAGTATATGATGGCGGGCCATCAGTGAGAGATGATAGGTGAGGATGAAAGCTGATCAGTTAGTCTATCTTCACGAATTCAAAAATCAATCGTGATGATTTCCAGGGGAAACCATATGGAGGTCGACCTGATAGGATATATTGCTAGCAATCGGGCTGCTATATCTTATTACTAACAATCTCTTTTCCTCTAAAGATACATCATTTGGGGCACTGATTTTTTTACCTGTTACAACCACCACAGAATATATCCTGCTCTATTACTGTACTACTAAGCCATGCTAGGCAAATGGCTCGGTTAATATATAGTATAAAAAACGTTCAAAAAATTTGAAAAATATAAAAAAAAATATTAGACACTTTAAATATAATAAATTCTATTAAAATATTCCATTTAATTATTGAGTTATTAAAAAAGATACAAGCGGTCAAGATTGGAACGCCAGCATGGCCAGAGGAGGTACGAATATGACTCATATTTTTTTTATTATTATAAAATAATATTAAAATATCAAAAGAAAATTTCCAAGTGTAGGCCCCGGCGAGATTCGAACTCGCGATCTCCTGTTTACTAGACAGGCGCTTTAACCAACTAAGCCACGGCGCCACTTGCGAATGGTTCCGAAATTACTATACACTATCTGCACATAAGTACCTCGTACAAAAGTAGGGTAAATAAATTGTTCTATCACAGATAAGATAAATATTATTATTGCTGATTTACTTATAACGATAATGAGCAATCTAGCAAAGAACCAGATGTTTTAAATTATTAAAACAACCGTTCGTCGTTACTTATTAGATTTATAATAGGTACGTAATGAATTTTGTTCCTAAAAAACTACGATTGGAGGAGATTTACCTAAAAAAGATATTAAGTTTAGTTATATTGGAAAAAAAAATTAACGAAGGGTTAGATTACAATGAATAATTGTTAGGATATATACGAGACAGAATGTATGTACAAGAGTCTTATGATAAAGGCGCTATAAATTTTCGGTACGACTTTTTCGTTCAAAATTTAATAAGAATATTTTTGTACGCACTTTTTTCGTGTAGTGCGTATAGTTTCATAGAAATTCTGGTTATAGAATTTAACAAAAAAAAAAAAAAAAAAAAAACTGCAGTAAAATGTGTTACGTATATTAGTTTACTGATACTTTTTCATTTAACTACCTGTCATAAATATCGATAAAATATGGTTCTGTTTATCTCAAAAGGAAAGGTAAAGGGCTCTACTTATACAGGTCTAATGTCTAACGTAATGATTTTTTCAAATTAATTAATTTTCTTCCGTATAAATATCTTGATTTAATTTTGAATTTGAATTGTTGAAATGATATATTCGTAAAGGGTAAAATAGGTCCTTGAGTATTTTAAAAGTTTTAGAAGCGAGCGCGGATCATACTGTACACTTTCGTAAATTTGAAGTAAACAATCTGTTAAGATAATTCTTTGCAAAGAAAAGCTCTGGCATTTGAAAAATATATGTTCTAAAGACTGTATACCTCCAGTACCTACTGTTGTGATGGATTTGACATTTGAAGACTGTCAGAAATGAAAGTAGGTTCAAAACGGGTATAGATTAAATATAACAAAAATTGCCCTACAAACATGTGTAACAATGCAAATACGATCCTAAAGTGTGATGCAATTCTCACAGTTCTATCAGTTACTACTTTCGTCTATACAAGATTTTTGTGTATGTATTTAGATAACTATTAATTTAATGTCAGAATAATAACTTACGCAAATTTAACACTTAATTTTAAATTTTCGCATTGTAAACATATTAAAATTTATTTTCTGGGTATTACTGCGCTGCTTTTACAGTTATTATTTTTTATTGTCAATTAAATAGTTTTAAATTTAATAAATAAAATGTAAAAACAAAACATAGACAAAAAATAAAATAACTTAGTAGAATTCTTTGTTCTTGGATCAAAAGTAGGTGCATTTACCTTATCACTCAGCGATTGGTTTATGGTTTGTTAACTAATATTGTTTTAATATGTTAATTCTATGTTTAAGGAACACCATGAACGGAGGGAAAGTGATTGTTAGTAATAGGGTCTAGACCTTATTGATAGTAATATACCTTATCAGATCGATCTCCACGCGGTACCCCTGGACACCATCGTGACAAATTTATCGGGAATTCGTCACGACGGGCTAACTGATATGCTTTCATCCTCACCTATTATTATCACTCTCTGGTGCTCCGCCAGTGTATACCAATGGCGCAGGTGGAGTTATCATTCCATTGTCTTCTCTCTTTTCGTCCTCTTCATTACTGAAGGTCGTGTCCTTGAAAGGTGTCTGTTGCCTCTCTTATGATGTTATTCCATTTTGCACGGTCTTCAGCTTCTCGCAGGGCAGCTGCAATCGACAGTCCCGTAACGGCGGTTACTTGGTCCGACCATCGATTAGGCGATCGTCCGCGTGGTCTATTAGTCTTAGTTAGTATTAGTGGTCTATTGTCTTAATTCATTTAAAAAAATACACCAATAACGTCATAGTATAAAAAAAGAATAAGATCAGCTATGATTGATAGCGATCAGTGGAACAGGACATACATACTTTTTTAGGGATGAAAATTTAATGGTAAACCTACACGATGGTAATGGACGGTGGTTGGTAGACCAACTTAGCGATATGCGTTAGCAGCAGGGCTGATGACTTCATCCTTACCTGTTAGACTTGTGGATTACTTTTTTTAAGAAAAAAATATAATTACCATATAGATAATTAATAATATATTATTATATAGATTATCCATATACTATGGGCTAACTGAACTAAGTTAGCTCACAGTGACGAATTAAACATGATGATTGAACCGATGGGGATATATTGCTAGCAATGGGGTTTCTTGATCCCATTACCAAGAATCTCCTCTCCTTCACAGAAATACACACCGAGTCGGCCCCAGTTGATGGAATAAAATCAATGTAATGATAATAATATACATACCTGTTCAGCGGGGGAAAGGGATTGTTAATAATGGGTCTAGCTAACAACATATCTTGTTAGGTCGACCTCGCGTAGGCCTCCCTCGAAACTATCGTAATTTATTATTGAATCCATCACGATGGGCTAACTGACCTGCTTTCAATCCTCACCATTCACCTCTCACTGGTACCCGGGCATAGTATGTATGTTGATAGCGCAGACGGCTTTACCATTCCTTTTCACTCATTAAACACAAAATTACGATTCTGTGAGCAATCAATGATTAAAATGATGATGTATTTGTAAGTACCGCTCTGATGTTGCCATTCTAGATAATTAATATTATCAGTTTTGTATGATAGTCGTATTATGTGGATTAATTTTCCTTTTATTTGATTTGTATATTTATTTAGCTGAAAAAATAATTTAACAGTAATAAATTCGAATTTGGAACGTAATATTTAATTTGAAAATCGAAGTGGACGGCAGTTGTGGCCGAGTGGTTAAGGCGACTGACTAGAAATCAGTTTCCCTCTGGGAGCGTAGGTTCGAATCCTACCGACTGCGGATTTTTTGATCGACTTTAATTGCCGTGTATATCACGATTATTGGGTCGTTTATTTTTATCAAACAGTCGTTATTGGACTCGTAACCCGCTCTTCTTGGAACTTTATTACACGGGATACCAATATAAGTAACATATCATTGCATTAGGGTCGTGCCATAAATTTTGACCGACATGAGTTGAAATGAGATGGAAAATGTTCGCACATCTGCGTTTTTGAGGGCCATTTACCTATATTTATTAGGGTCATCATCCTTATTCATATTGTATAAGTAAATGTGAAAGTGAGTGAAAAAAGCCATAACGGCTTAACCAATCATTCTCAAATTTAGTATACACGTATCTTATAGAATGTAGAACGATATAAGCTACTTTTATTCTGAACAATAAACATATCCCGGTCACGCGGATAAAGTCGCAGAAAAAAGCCAGTAGAGTATAAAAATATAAATTTTAAATTATATGTCATAATTATATTAAAGTGCCATAATTTAATTTAAAATGATTAATGACCCCTTGATAACTTTTCATATAGCATTAGGGTGTCCATTGCCGCGCTTTCCGTGCAAAAAAAAAAAAAACTCTATGGTTTTAATGACAACAAAAAAGCGGGTGCATTTGTTTTGTTTACTTTCAATTAATTAAGGCTGAATTGGCTGTTTAAATGCAACGAGAGTCGTAAAATGTTTTATTTATGTGATATTTTTATGTTTCGTTCCCGTATGGTTGCGGGATGATTCATAAAATTGTGTCCTAAATTATTAATCTATGAG